TGGAAACTATGTGCAGTGGTTCACACCTATAATCCCTTCACTTTGGGAGGCTCAGTTGATGGGATTGCTTGAGGCCAGGAATTTTAGACTAGCCTGGGCAACATAGCTAGGGCCTATCTCTACAAAAAACAAAATTAGCCAGGCGTGGTGGCATGCACCTGTGCACCTAGCTACTCTATACCGGAGGCTGAGGTGGGAGAATTTTACTTGAGCCCAGGAGCTGGAGGCTGCAGTGAGCTATGATTGCACCATTGCACTCCAACGTTGGTGACAGGACAAGACCTTATCTCAAGAGAAATATCAAAATTTGGCTTTCAATTAATTCAGCTTTCTGAATCAACAAGCATTTATTTGGAATATTCTATGTAACAGGTAGAGAGAGCACTGACTTTGAAATAGATTTGAATGCTCAATTTGTTGCTTACCAGCTATGGGACTTTAGGTGAATTACAGTTATGCATTGCTTAATGATAGGGGTAAGTTCTGGGAAAGGTGTCCTCCTCAAGCAATTTTGTTATTGTGTGAATATCTTAGCGTTTACTTACAAAAACCTACGTGGTATAGTGTACTACACACCTCAGGTATATATAGTACAGTCTGTTGCTTCAAGGTTGCAAACTTGTACAGTATGTTACTGTAATGAATACTGTAGACAACTGTAACACAAGGGTATTTGTGTATATAAACACAGAAAAGATACAGGAAAACACTGGTATAATTCCATGGACCCACTGTCATATATACAGTCCCCTGATGAGTGAAATGTTATGTGGCCTATGACTGTACTTAAACCTCTCTGAGCCTTATTCTTTTCAGCTAAGAAAAAGGGGACATTGTCTCCCAGGTGGCATAACATTCCGAATTAAATGAAATCACATATTTAAAGCACTTAGCATTGTGGCCAAGCAAATAAGGCAAGACAAAATAAAAGTAAGTTTTCTTCCCCCATGTGCAAGACTTTGTACTTAGGTGAGGGTCATCATCCGGAAGGAAGCCAGACACACACTCATTACTGCCTACAGAGTGTCATTAACTGTTGCAATAGAAGTACGTTAGTGATCACATTCCCTGCATTCCTCTAGAGCTTTCTTCATATCTCATGCTGACCTGGCATATAAAATTGTATTTCCTTTTCTAAAAGACATACGCAACAACTCTGCTACTGAAGCTGAGGCACAATGACAAAATTTATTTAATTTTTGCCAAGGCTCTACATTTGTCAGTGTTGTAGAAAGGATAAGACTTGCATGTGAAATGATTTAAACAAGATTTTCTAAAGCTTGGTTTTCTGTAATTAGGCCACAAGAAAAACGTACTCCAGCATAATAGAATGGCTCACAGCTACTTTTGCATATATACTTTAATATTTAGGCTTGGGTAAAATCATTTTAAATAACATATTAAAATATGTTTGGGGAGACAACCCAGCAATTGCACAGTCCACTAGAAAATTTTACCATCTAGGCAGTATAACTGTTTTAGGGTCTGAAAGTTCTCCTTCAGCTGTTCCACAGCTTCTTTATCAACTAGGCAAATACATTTAAGCTTTTAAATTTCATAATGTTGATAGTTTTTAAAAGGCACAAGGAGGTTCACTTAATATTAAATATGTAACATTTACTTTGTATTTCATGACCAGAACCTTTTTGGCAAGTGACTTTCACATAGATTATGAGATTCTCTACATGCCTTTAAATAAAATAAATCTGGCAGCTCTTAACTCATACCTACATTCTCCGGACAATTGTCTTGCTCTCTGTTGGGGGACCAGGGGCATAGCAGCCAAGGCCCTAACAGGCTTGCTGACCTAATTGGACCGTTTGTTAAATAGCAGGAAATGTAACCAGGCTTCTCTCTCTCTTGCATGTCAATGCAGTGAACAGTGCTAATAGCCAGAGATTGTGCAATTTAGTCACAATATTTTAAGTCAAAATTCAGTGTTCTTAGATCAAAAGATACCAAAGAAAGCCATCCCTGTTCTTTGAATTATAAGAGCACAGAGGTTGCAATGATCAGAACCAACTGGTTAAAAGCCGAAATGCATCCTTTCAGTATTGATTTGACAGATGCCAACAAGCATTCAAAAATTTAGAGTTAATTTCCTGGTGACAGGTATAAAACTGATCAGATTTGTTTCAACTGTATCATAAGCAAACTTCACAAATTGGAGATGTAGTCCTTCTTGGCTTTTTTTCCCCTACACCTTAATTCTAGCACCTGTTGTCAGACCACTGTTGAGCACCAAAAGAACTCAGCCCGGAGTTCTTTGGAGTTTTAAGCGATTGCCTAACTCAGCAGGGGACAGTGGTCTTGACTTACTGGTTGATGGTTTAAAAACATAAAAGAATTTAATATTTTAAAGCTGACAAACTAGAAAATGTTAGAAACTATCTGAAGGCACAAAGTATAAAGTTGGTGGGTACCTGATAAAACGTGATGTATGTAAATACAACTCAAAACAATTTAAAAGTATAAGTATTTGTCAATTATTTTTCCTCCAGTGCTCTGGCTATTGCTGAAAACACCTTCTAGTTCCACCTTGTAACTGGACTCCCAAAAGATGAATGCTGACATCTTCTGATGCTTAACAAGAAATAAAAAGTCACCTTAATCATCAAAAAGGTAATTGCAAAGGGCACTGTTGCCTGAAATTCTCTAGTCACCTGAAAACTGAAACAACTGAGGCAAGATTTCTTAAAACATTTAGGAAGGTTAAAACTTAAACAGAATGGCCTGATAATGATCAAACATGTACAGAGAAATACATGAAATCAGAATTGTGAATGCAGAGAAATAACTGTTTTGCTAGTTTAAAAGTTTGAAGCTTTTCCCTCCTCCCTAGCTGTTAATGTAGGAGACACACAGCCTAACCAAGACAGTCTCAATGCCCAGGAATGGTTGTGTGATGACTGATAAAGCAGCAATTTCTTGCCTATTAATAGTTTCCCACGGTTAGAAGGCGACAGCCACTGGCAATCAGATGCGGTCTCAGGTTTTCCTTGTCCTGGGGCAGGAATGCCTGGAGGGACCATGATGTGGGTCACACTGTACATTCTGTTTACTGTGGGCACAAACATACAACAGAACTTTTTTTTTAGCTTATTAAATCGAGAATATTCCTGAGGAGGCATCCGCTATGGGCTAACGGTCCCAACATCACAATAATAAATAACAGCTATGTTTACAGAGACACATTCAGGGCACATGCAAAAGCTTTTCCTAGCAGGAGGACTTGGGCCTTTGCAAAACAAGCTGCTTGGGCCTCCCCAGAGGGCCCACCCTCCCATGCACCTACCCCACTACCCTGCCCCAACTCATTACACAACTCGGCCTTCTGGCCACCTGAGGCTACTTTTTAGACCAAGTGTCTCAGACGTTTCAAGTAGAAGACAGGATGGGCCGCTGCCAGGGGACCTTGCCACAGAAAATTAGGTCAGAGGACTTGCAGGGTGGCGAAGAACAACCGGATAGATGTGGGAGCCCAGCAGGGAAATGACAGGAGGCGCAGCTTAGGTGTGGAGGCTCCACGTGGCTGGTCCCCACGTGACTCAGATGAAGTGGATCCAGCTCTCTTCGCACTCCCCGCGAGGCATGTGCAGCGCGTGGTTGCGACACGTGAGGCTGTAGTCTCGGCGGTCGTTGTTGTCCCAGTACTCGGCACCCGCCACTCGGTAGCGCACCGCGAAGTGCACGCGGGAGCCGAGCTCCAGCAGGAAGGGTGGCACTGGGAAGCCGAAGGTGAAGACGTCCTCCTTGCCCTCGGGGCCTGCGGGCCCGCGCCACCGCGCCACCGCCTCGTGGGTACTGCGCCAGCCCGAGAAAGTATAGCGCACAGCCACCTGCTTCTCGAAGGCCACGTTGCACACGCGCACCGTACCGCTGATGCCAAGGTCCGAGCAAGTGACACGCTCCAGGCACACAAGCTGGCGCTGCAGGCGCTCGCCAAAGTCGGTGGCCTCGACGGGCGGCGGGAAATCGGGCACCAGGCACTGCAGGGTGAACTCCAGGTCCTGGCTGCTGCAGCACAGGTCAGAGTTGATGGCGAGCCGCGATAGCACGTGCAGCGGCACCGACGGGTCGTCTCCCGCATTGAACACCTTGACTTGCGCCAGCTCCAAGCCCAGGGCGTCGGCGAAGCGCACGCGGAG